ACTGGATCGGGGAGACTTCTACGTGTCGTCAATTATCCGAAGAGAGGCAATCAATACTGGCAGAGTTTCATAATGGTGTCGTAGGTGAACATCGAGGAGTAAAAAGGACCTACGAAAAAGTTCATCGATTATCTTGGTGGGAAGGGGAGTATAATTACGTTGAGAGATACTGCATAACTTGTGAGGAATGTCAGAAGAAAGCTCTTGTGTGGTAGAAAGATTCTTTACATCCGTCCTATCCCACTAAACCTAGGAAAAATGTTCATATATACATAATGAAGATGCTGAAAGAAGTAGGGGATTTTAACTATGTAGTAAACATAAGAGACGATTTAACAAGATTTGTCGATGGAAAACTCGTCAGAGCCAAATCAGCCAAGGAGGTAAAAAACTTCGTCTTGGAATATCGATCTTGATATGGATGTGTTGGTAAAATCGTGATGGACAAACAAACAAAATTCCTTGTTGACGAGGTTCAAAACGTATTCAAAAGAGAGGGAGCGAGAGTTTCGATAACCACTGTCTATCATCCTCAGGCTAACACACCTATTGAGAGAGGGCATCATTCCTTGATTGCATCACTGTCTAAATAATGCAGAGGAAAGGATAACGACTCACCACTGTATTTTGGATATGAGATATGGACGATTAACGTTATGGTCCAGACTAGTACATGTTATCCTCCCTACACCTTATGGTTCGGGATACATTGAACTTTACCTAAAGAGTTCGACGTAGAGAGTTTGACAATCATTGATTGGGTTGACCACCTGTCACGAGAAGACCTTCTAGCCGCCCGAACGAGATAGAAAGCATACGGACTAGAGGATAACATGATGATAGCATCGAATCGACTAACAGTAAAAAAATAAAAGGAAAAAGAAAGATGAGACAATAATATCCGAGTTAGAAAGGAGAAGATATATGTGGGAAATATGATCTTGTTGTATGACTCAATATAAGGAAGAACATGGTAAAGAAAGCTGACAAATTTGTGGATGGTATTTTACCGCATAGAAGAGGGGCTCGACTGGGGAGCCTATATGATATTTGAGTTACATGAATTTATGTGGAGAGACCCAGTAGTAGAGGCTAGGCTTAAGCTGTTTGGCCCTTGATGACGTTGGGGCCTTGGACCATCATCAAAGGATTCTAAATGAAAAGGAAACGGAAAAATAACAAATGAATCATCACCGACACGATTCGAGATAAGAGAGTTCATGAAAAAAAAAATGTCATGACCAAAAAAGTAAAAGGATTGACATTAGTGAAGAAGAGGAAATGGTTGTCGTGCTTGGAAGAGCGAGGCGTAAAGCCTTTATTATGAGAGGGTCCGCACCTCGATTGCTTTCATCACGACAGAAACAGGGTCCCAAAAGGCGACGACAGAAGGCCAGTGTCCGACATCCGCTTAGTCTTAAAATCTCCAGAGGGACCCACATGATAAGGGAACCCAAGCGTAGACGTGGGCGACATATACTAACCATCTCCTTGAGACTTGTACGGGTTCTTTTGTCTGATATATGAAAACCCCCACTTGGTCGTCGACAAGAGGTTCGAGCTACTTTCAGGCGGCCAAAGCCAGTTGGCCACCCGAATATCGAAGAGTGGAACCCTAAAACGATTTGTGGAAGGGTTTTTGAGGCGTTCTTCCGCGCCAACCCCTAATTTTCCCTTGATCGGTTACCCCTTGATCAGTTACCTATACCAACCCTTGAGTTTTGATAATCAGACGTAAATTTGGGTCGACCCTAATGACCCATTTTTTTGTCAATTTCGCACCCGATATCGACACATTTGGCCATTGAGTGAAAAAAATTTGAGTGAGCCTTTCCGCATCATTTTCTTCCCTACTTCACTTGACCCGAAGATAAAACCTCAATTGTATTTAATTTAATAATAAAATTAAAAATAATAAAAAAACTAAAAATAAATAACTATTTATTATTTCTGAATTTTTCGTTTGATCACATGCTTAACAAATTTAACACTATTTCGCTAGATTATCAACTCTATTATGGATTTTTTAAAATACCTTTATTAGGCCCATATATCTGTGTGCGTGTGGGTTGTCGACTATTGAGAGTTTGTTGTGTGTTGGTACTCCATATTGTAAGGAGTCACGGGTCCATCATTCTTGCTCACGAGTTTGGCGAACATTAGTTATGGTGAACATAACGAGGATTATCTGGTCACAAGAGTGGTCAAACGGTACATGTGATCTGATAGTGATTGCTTACTCGGCGACATTAATTTATCACATATAGGACTTAATTACATGATGTCGACCATAATGAGGAAAATTATTTCTGGTTATGGCATTTGACCCGTCGATACTAACACAAGATCAGACAACGACAGTTGATGTGATTCCACTTGATTGCTTATTACTGTTGATCCAACGACACGTATAGTTTGTCACCCTGCTTGGACCAGAAATGTGGAACCAGCCATGGCAATTGCTTCCACGTCAAGGAGTACAAGACCCGACACTTGGTCTACGAAAAGTCATTTTGGTTACGACACGGGTCCATGATGTTTGGTTTTATCTAAGTAGAATTTTCGGATATCTGGCGGGCGTACAATAATCCAGTTCATCCGGCCGGAAAGAAGGCCCCGGATATTACCAGATATACATTTTCCAGGGCCCGCGCAAAATAAGCTCAAAGGTCGAAAATTGCATCTAGGGGTGTGGCGGGGTAGAGGGTGGCAGCTTGAACACCCTCCCGCTTTCAGATTGTGAAGGCGACCTATCCGTTTTGAAAAAAAAAAGGCCCGATCTGGGCCGTTGATTGACGATGATCCACAGCCTAGATTGGACCTTTTTTTTAATTTGAAAATCTCGCAACCCTGGTTTCGGACTGCGCGAAGTGTAATGGTCTGCCCCCCGTCCATCCCCACCAACGGCCCGCTGCCCCGTTGCTGCGCTAAGCACGGCTCCTCCCCCGTGCTTTGGCGCTAACGGCCAACTGCCCCGCCCTTCCGATGCTTTGGTGTTGGAGCCATCGCCGCCGGCCTTGAGCGCCATCGACGGGAACCTCCTCCTCCTCCTCCTTCAAGCGATGCCCGTCCTCCCCCTTAACCCCACTCCACCTCCGCCTCCTCTTTCTCCTCATCTTCCTCATATTCCTCCTCCTCCTCCTCCCCCTCCTCATCGTCGTCGTGCTCTCCTCCCTCCTTGTCGGCCTCGGCCCTTTCCGATTCTTCTTCCTCTTCCCCCTCCTCCTCATCTTCGTCGTGCTGTCCTCCCTCCTCCTCCTCTTCTTCTTCCTCCTCCTTGTCCCATTTTTCCTACTTATCGTCCTCGTTTTCTACTTCTTCTTCTTCTTCCTCCTCCTCTTCCTCCTCCCCCTCCTCCTCATCGTCGTCGTGATCTCCTCCCTCCTCATCGGCCTCGACCCTTTCCTCCTCGTCTTCCGCCTCTTCCTCCTCTTCCTTTATTGTCGCCATGCTCTCCTCCCCCCTCCTCCACCTCTTCTTCCTTCTCCTCATCCTCCTCGTCCTCCTTTTCCTCCTCTTCGTCCTCTTCATCCTCTTTCTCCTCTTTCTCCTCTTTCTCCTCCTCCTCCTCCTCCTTCTCCTCCTCCTCCTCCTCGACTTTGTGGAAGCTTGCCTTGACCCCCCTCACCCACCCCCCGATCCCCAAACCATTTGTTTGTTCCTTTTAAATCAATCGATCAATCAATCCATAAAAAAAAAAAAAAACGAAAAACTAGTATTTAAACAAATCAATCGATTTCGTTGGATCTTGATTTAAATCGATTGATTCGATTGACTACTCGTTTTTTTTTTTTTTTTTTTTAATTAATTGATTGATTGATTGATTTATTGATTGACCATCCTCACCCGCTGCCCAACCTCGACATCAGTCGATTCGATTGGATCAAGATCATACTTGCAACGCACTTCTGCGGTTCGCGTGCGCCATGCAATGTGCGCAAATTCGTGATGCGCTGAATTTTTTTCTTCTTCTTTTTTAAGGGATGTGTGTGTACACATACAGAGAGAGAGAGAGAGAGAGAGAGAGAAAGAGAGAGAGAGAGAGAGAGAGAGAGAGAGAGAGAGAGAGAGAGAGAGAGAGGANAGAGAGAGAGAGAGAGAGAGAGAGAGAGAGAGAGAGAGAGAGAGAGAGAGAGAGAGAGAGAGAGAGAGAGGGAGAGAGAGCAAAGGATCCCCTTCACACGTATCAGAGGGCCCACGCTGGTAATATGAAGGGTCCTCGCAGCAATATAGCAAGGACCCTCTACTAAAATCGAGGCAGGCAGTGAATACGAAGTGGAGAACGAGCTGGCTGAATATATTCTCAGGATTCGTATTCAGGTCCGTGTTTCAACAATTATGGGTTACTCACTTCGCTAGGCCCTGTTGGTCTTTGCTTGAGATTCTCAGGGCTTAGCTACAGTACTCATCAAATGTGCAAAATTAAAATGAATCTTCTGCTAGAACATGGAATAATATGCCGCCATATGTTTTATCTTTTGTGCATGTGGTGAGTGAGGCCCTAGGGCCACTGCATGTATTCCTAAGAAAAGAAAAAATTACAAAGAAAAAGAAAAACGAGAAAACAAAAGAGAAACGAGAAAATAGAGAATTAATAAGCCACTATGTAGCACTGTGTTCACGTTCGGAGGCGAACGCGAACAAGCGCCCAAAACCCTCCGAACGCGAACATTAAAAAAAAAACAAAAAAAAAACAAACGTTCTCAGAAAAATCTTGAACAAATATTTGTTATGTAAAATAACAATACAAGCAACTTTTGTCTTGGAGTCATGTTCAAATTCGTAGCCAATCATGAGTTAAAAATCAAAAACCAAAAACAAATATATATATATATATATATATGGTCACAAACAGAACTGCCCGGTAAAACCGGAGGCAGAGAGAGAGAAGAGGACAACAAACGATATATATATATTTACCGAAAAAAAATATGTTCGCCCGAACATGTTCGCAAGCTGTTCACGCGAACGCGCGAACACGTTCACCCGAACGTGAAGGGGTGCAGACACGTTCGGCGTGCTACGCAGGTAAGCCAAAACTGTGATGCACAGACCTGAATTTGAATCCAAACTATACATTCTCGGCACACGTTGACAAACTAGAAGTCTAATGTTCATCTCTGCTCCACGAGGGGTCCTTGTTAATTAGTAAGGGCCCTTCGAAAATGAGACTGGACACAATTAGGACAGGCACACCCACACGTACACACATGTGCTCACAGTGTTGGGGTATGGGGTGACCCCAACTTTTTTCCCTCTTGCAGTTTGATTATCCGCAGCAAGGGGCATGTTTGCCCCCCCCGCCTTGTCCTTTCAATCTTTTTTTTTTTTTTTTCGTGATGCGCCTCATCATGTGCACGCTCGTGCATGCGGGTGCGCTCCGCGCCGCATGTGCCACGACCCCGCGCACGGGATGTGCCGCAGGTATGACCAAGATTCAATCAAATCGATTGATGCAATTGGATTTTTTTTTTCGTTTTTTTTTTTTTTGATTGATTGATTGATTGAAGCCCTAGGGCTGTAATCGGGAATTGTACCATAACTGCTAAACAAGGTCCAAAAAAACAAAGGGTTCAGGGGGCTAGCGACTATACAGACTTGCAAATCGTTTGTCGTAGAGGAGGGGGGGGGGGGGGAAAGAGGAGGAGGAGGAGGAGGAGGAGGAGGAGGATGGCGAGGAGGAGGACGAAGAAGAGGAGGAGGAGGAGGAGGAGGAGGAGGATGACGAGGAGGAGGAAGAAGAAGAGGAAGAGGAGGACGAGGATGGCGAGAGGGAGGAAGACGAACAAGAGGTGGACAAGGACATGGAGGAGAGGGAGGAGGAAGAGGCAAAAAAGGGGTGACAGGAGGAGGAAGCCGAGTGAGGGGAGCGGGAGGCAGGCAGTTTCGCCTCGACCATCCTCAACCGCTGCCCATCCCCCGAACCCTTTATTTTTATTTATTTTTCAATCAATTAATCAATCAATCAATAAAAAAAAATGAAAAAAGAAATTCGTCGATTCGATTGGATTTTGATTAATATCAAGATCCAATCGAATCGACTAATTTGATAGGATATATTTTTCATTTGTTTTGATTGATTGATTGATTGATTGAGGACCTAGGGCTCTAATTGGGAACTGTAGCATAACTGCTAACCAAGATCCAAAAAAATAAAGGGTTTGGGGGTCTAGTTGTGATACAGACTTGCAAATCGTTCGTCGAAGAGGAGGAGAGAGGAGGAGGAGGATGGCGAGAAGGAGGACGAAGAAGAGAAGAAGAGGAGAAGAGGAGGAGGAGGAGGAAGATGACGAGAGGGAGGACGACGAAGAAGACGCAGATGAGGACGAGGAGGAGAGAGAGGAGGAGGAGGAGAGTAGGAGGGAGGAGGTGGAGTGGAAGGAGGATGAGGCAAAAGGGGGGTCATGGTAGCAAGCACATGACTACCCCTATAGGTCGCTGTGACTTGCAATCTTGGGTTTCTGTCAAGACCCAACTCGTACACCCCTTACGTCTCTCTTTTCCTTGCCCCCGAGACCCTCTTGCATGTCCAGCCCTTTTGCGAACCGATACCAATTCGCCCCCCCCTTTTTGCTAGTCACTCCCTGTGGTTTCAATTCCTATCCCAAGCTTTTACACTGCTCATTCACACCCGCCGCTCTCGTTCCGGCCTATGAGCTTCCGTGCCAAACGGCTGAGCAGGCAGACATCCGGTGTACCGTCCATGCGAGAACCCAGCTAGGAGCTTATACGAAGATCGCCACCAGTTAAGGCTTCCGACCGCGAGTTCGGTCGAGCGCATTTAACAAGGAAATAGGAAAATAAATCTTGACGACCTTAGTGGAAAAAGTGGACTGGATCCGTGCAAAGGGAACATCCATTGTCAACGATGAGACCAACGGACGACACCGACCACACACGCGATGGTTTTATCACTTGTTCGAGGGATTCAAAACGGTTGACATAACCAAAAAAATTGATTTTTTTTTAGATCGGGGAGCCGACACTGCACTCTCTCTCTCTCTCTCCCTCTCGTTGTCTGCTTTCGTCAACCGCCTCGTCCGATCACAGGCACGGTCAGGTTCGTTCTCGCCCTGGACCCGACGGTTCAGACTCCAGGCTCCCTTGTCTCTCTCTCTCTCTCTCCCTTTCTCTGCTTTTCTTTATCCCTCTCTCTCTCTCTCTCCTTTCTCTCTCTCTCTCTCTCTCTCTCTGATGCGTTGTCGAGCGCATCGGTCCAGCACCGCACGTGGCAGCGCGGGACCCTCTCGGCCGCGTCACGCAGGAGTTGGACCAACCTCGTCACGAACACACAAATGGAGATTCGTTAAGCCCCTCCGGCCGAGTGCGCCAGCCATACCTCTCGCGATCCCCTACGACAGGATAGGGCCTGCGCGAGGCACAACTACCTCCACCTTACGGGAGCTGTCACCTCCCTTCGGTGGGCGTATCCCTGCCGAGCTACCAGTCCACATTACGAAAGTTAATCAGTTGCAATCGCAGAGGTGGACCAGTCGAGGGCGTTAATCGTTCGTTGTAGCAAAGGGGGTACGCGCGGTAATACGCCTCTATCGGACCCGCACGCGAACCGACATCTTGGGGGGCTGAGGTCCCAAGCGCGACTCGTCGTCGGTTGACTAGGACACATCCCACACACCACTCGCACACCACTCTACGAACACAAGGACAAACGCACACACATATACACACAGACGATACAACCCAAACAACACAACACGAACAACGCGACAAACGTTTCTAGCCCCTTCAGTAGTCATCCCATAAATTCCCGATGTGAAAATCGGATAAGCACCGCGCGCGAGACTTAATATAAACCGCACGGACGCAGGGCTAACTCATATCGACTCGCAATGCAAGCGTACGCAAGCAGTCGCAATGATGGTGTACTATGTAGTACCCATACTCACGCGGTCCTTGTTAATCTCGAGGGTCGCATTCGACACTCAAGTGTCGGTTGACACGCGCCTTGAGGGTTAATCTCTCGGCGCCGGACAACCATCATGCGTGGTTGAAGACCACACACCCTCTTCTGCACCCTGTGCAGAGTGGGTGGTACATAGGTCCATACCTGTGGGTGGCAGTCGTTTCTTACTGCCCTGGAGATGAGTCCCACTCCGGGCCTTGGCGAAAGTCAAGGGGTTTGACTTTGACGGCTGCCACGGACTACAACGTCCAACTATAACTATTAATAAGCAGAATCAACCAATAAAATAAACAAGCACCCCAACACTCATATACCATTTCAGAACTCGAGATAACAATAAAGGAACGTGGAAACATAAACCCATCAGGTTTGCAGATCGCGTGACACATGGTTGTCATTCTCACTTTCTCCAAAGTATGACTCATATACCAAGCTTCGAGATACTAACCTGCATAAAACACATACACACACAATAGCCACATTGCCATACACCAATGTGGTCAACTTTACTGTTCCCTGTAACTCACACCACGCCTTACGCAGTCAAGCCCCCAGTCATAGTCAAAATCTCCATAAATCTCACAAGTTCTTTATAATGACCATTTAAAATAAATTCGGTTAAAACCCTCAAAGAAACATGTCAAATCCCATGGCTAAGGCAATCAAGTTGAGGTACAGGTATATGCAAAGTTGTGTCGTGAGCCGACGAATCGGCGATCAACCAACCGACCTGTTATCAGTGATAACAGAAAATGACTCTCGTAGGATCAAGCTAAAACAAGTCCAAATCCTTAGTCAAATGATCAAAAGGACCTGTAACACGAGATAGGTCAACGCCCCAGGCTAAAACCATAAGCCCCTGGAAAATCATCCCGATACCACAATTTCTCTCAGAGTCTCTCCTAATAGCTAAACCTAAGTCTACCTCTAAGCCAGCGCCCAAAGAAAGGTAGACTCATGGCATAATCTCCCCTATCCAGGGTGGATTACCA